TTGAGGGCCACGTAAGAAAAATCTGCAAGATCAATGGGGAAAATAGATGATTTGATGCATAGATTGTGCAGAGTTTACGAGTGGGATAAAAGTATGGGGTGAGGGAATAGATGTAAAAAAATACATATATACAGTAGAACCTCTATAGTTGACCATGTTCCTATACTGACCATCTCCTTAAGTTGACTGAATTGTCATAGATAGGACATGTACCACATATATGTATCAGTATAGCAGGCCTAGTTCCTTATGTTAACCACCTCTATATGTTGACCAGTTTGTTATAATCCCTTGGGTAGTCATACATATATATAGTACAACCTCTGTAATAAATATGTATATATAGAGAGAGTATACACACAGTGCCCAAGAAATGCATACACATTTTGAGAAAGGAGAAAACTATTAAAATTGTAATACTCAATATATACTGATAATAAAAGATGTATACAAGTCTTTTTTTTTTTTTTTGGAGACAGAATCTCACTATGTTGTCCTGGGTAGAGTGCCATGGCATCACAGCTCATAGCAACCTCAAACTCTTGGGTGCAAGCAATTCTTTTGCCTCAGCCTCCCAAGTAGCTGGGACTACAGGTGCCCGCCACAATGCCTGGCTATTTTTTTGCTATAGTTGTCATTGCTGTTTGACAGGCCCAGGCTGGGTTTGAACCCGCAAGGTCTGGTGTATGGGTGTATGTGGCTGGCGCCCTAGCTACTGAGCTACAGGCGCTGAGGCTGTACAAGTCATTTTTGAGCACCTCTTGTAATTGCAGAAGTCAAACATGGCTTGAGTGTTACAGTTTTAATAGTTTTTTTTCTTAAAATGTGTACACATTTTTTGGCACTCTCTGTATATATGTTTATTCCAAAAGGAGTGGAGGAAAAAGCTTCCCAAAGTGTGAATGTGTGAGAGGTGAAGTACTGTGGCAGCCCAGCTGTTATTTACCCTTGAGGACAGAACATTTGAGTTAACTTTTCAGCTTCCATTTTTACCTTAATGTATGACTAGATTATTAGTTATTATAATCTATTTCTGTCACTGTTGGTTCATACTCATAATCTGCTTGAAAGGAAGGACCTAATTTATGAGAGATACTACGATAAATGCAACAATTCTTATTTAAAAAATTATCTACAAATGGCACTAAGAAGACTCAATCTGTTTTTAAAATAGGTAAAACATGAAGCACAGCATTCATCGTGGAAAGGTAATTGCTGGGGCAAGCAAAACTTCAGGTTTTCTACAACATTGCTCCCACAAAGGTCACAATGTTGTTCTTCACGTTGTGTTTTTACCGAGTCTTTTTTTGAGAGATAGATTGACAAGTGATTAAGCATGAGACAGTGAAGCCAGGCTGCCTGGGTTGAAATTCTAACTGCTTACATTAGCTGTATGACCTTGTGTGAATCAATTAACTTAGCCTCACTTTTTCATCTGTAAAATGACTCCCATATAATAATAATACCCGTCTAATACTTAGCTTTTTGATAAATAAAGATAAATGAATGGAGCCTGTAAGTTTGTTACTGTAGAGCCTGATACATAATAAATGCTCAGTAATTGCTGGATATTATTTTTTAAATAATACTAATAATTATAAAAGTTTATTTTATAGAATCAAATACTAATGAAAGTTACTGCTACTCTTTTTAGGAAGTTACTGAAGGAACTATAATATGTAATGTCTTACATTCTTTAAATTTTATGTGATTTCCATGGCAAACTCATTGGCTTTATGTAAGTGAATTTTAACTTGTTTTTAAAAGGAGCAAATGATTCAACAAAGTCAGCTGATGATTGAGTACCTTCTAAATGGGAAACAAAGTTCTACAAAAATACAGAATTCAACAAAATTCTATTTTTCTCAAGCTTTCACCTAAGGACAAATACAAAACAAGATGTAATGATATGATTTTTGATTCAGACTAAGCACTTTGAAGTTTTTTGGGGGGAAGAATTGTTTCACATTGAGTAATCATAAAGGGCAGGTGAAGTGGCATATAAATGGGCCTTAAAAAATTAATAGATTTTTGACACATGTTGTGAGGGCAGTTTAAGAGGAAGACATTTCAGACAAAGGGAAAAGGTTCAGAGGCAGAATAGCTTGATTTGTGTTTTACAGGAACAGGATATGATTCAAACAAACTGGAACATAAACATCTTTTGGAAAGTTCTGGGAAATAAGATTGGATTAGGTTGTGGCAAATTTTGAGTATCAAAGTGGAGGGTTTGCTAGAAAATATTAAATCCCATTCTTTAGAGCACTCTGGTCTGTTTGCTACAGTGCATGTTCTGTAACACAAATTAATTGATATGTGATTGGTACTCTGTGATTTGATGTTAGTATAATGGGGAAGGTAGCATTAGTGCAAACAAGAGGAAACTTTCTTACAATTTAAGAGAAAGCTTCAGCATTATAAAACACTAAGAAAATCACTGAAATGTCCTTTTTTTAGTAAAAATGAGTGGCTTCAAGAATAGTTCCTCATTCCATAGTATTAAGCTGTGTGGTAAAACACAAGTGCAGACAGAAACTGAAGACATTTTTCCCTTTGAATTAAGAACTTTTTCTGTTGGTTTGGTGAAGAAGTCTGCATTCTGAATTATATTTTTAACTTAACAGAGATTGGTCTTGACTCATATCGCAAAAGAGAAAGCAAGAACCCCAGAGTTTTAGGTTTCAGAGGACATATTGAAGACATAATGCTAGGTGCAAATGGAAGTGGACATGTAACTGTGCTAGGAGTTTCCACAGGACTTGTTATTTGTTTTAGTTAGGTCTTTGGTTACAGAGTTGACTGACCTTTAAGGAAAAAATGTGTGTGTGTGTATATAGACACACACACATATATATTTTTATATATACATATTTTTATATATGTATATACAAAATATATGTATGTATATTTATATATGTATATATAAATGTGTATATATACACATATATATATTTTTTAAAGATAGTCTTTGTCGCCCTTGGTAGAGTGTTGTGGTGTCATAGCTCACAGCAACCTCCTCAGACTCTTGGGTTCAAGCGATTGATTCTCTTGCCTCAGCCTCGAGTAGCTGGGACTACAGGTGCCCCCCATAACACTGGCTGTTTTTAGAGACGCGATCTCTCTCTTGCTCAAGCTGATCTCAAACCTGTGAGCTCAGGCCTCCCAGAGTGCTAGGATTATGGGCATGAGCCACCATGCCCGGCCCTAAAATTTTTTTTAATATTTTAATATTTTTTCTTTTTAGAAATGAGGTCTTACTATGAGGAGTTTTGACGTACTATGTAAAAATACCTGAATTGGCATAAATTTCAAATGTATTTACAATGTAAATGTATGCTATGTAAATATACCTGGGTTTGTGCCTGATTTGGCACAAATTTCAAATGCCAAATCAGGTATTTTTACCTAGTATGAAATTTACATTTGAAATACATTTGAAATTTGTGCCAAATCAGGTACTTTTACATAGTATGTCAAAACTCCTCTAACTGGGCTCTGCTGTCTGGCTATACTTGGAGGGAATTGATCTCCTTAAATGTTGTAAACAAATTTTGACTAGATATAGACTTAACTTTTGAGAGACAGTCAGGATGTGTTTATGTGTGTTTTTTTATCATAGAAAATGCCCACTCATTCCTAAAAGTCATTCCCTTACCAGGTGCTTTCTTGGAATTTGGGGCCTTAAGTTGAATATATAGAATTCCCAGTTTATTAGAGGAATGGGCTTTTCTCTTCATTTACTTTAAATAGGGAAATCCTTTAATTTAATTTAGCTGTTAACTTTCTGAAGTGTTCATTTCAGGAATATTTTGAACTTTTTTTCCCCTTTTTTTCTGAGACAGAGTCTCACTACGTGGCCCATGGTAGTGTTGCGGTGTCACAGCTCACAGCAACCCCTAAGTCTCAGGCTTAAGTGATTCTCTTGCCTAAGCCTCCCAAGTAGCTAGGATTACAGGCACCTGCCACAATGCCCAGCTATTTTTTTTGTTGTTGTAGTTGTCGTTGTTTAGCAGGCCCGAGCCAGGTTCGAATCCCTTAGCCTTGGTGTATGTGGCCAGCGCCCTAAGCTATGGGTGCTGAGCCTTCAGGAATATTTTGAATGGAAAGGTCTTTAGCATTACATTCTTACTGACAAATACTAACCCCTTTTCTATTTTTGAGAAAGTAAAACCAGTGAACTTAAAATAAGGTTTAGTTGGCATTACTTTTACAAAGAGAGATATCCATAATTTAAAACTTTGTCACTGATAAGACTTATTTACTTCCATAGCTTTGTACTTACTGTATTTTCAGTAAAATGTGTTTGTGTTGTGCTGCTATGTATCATTTTGGGGGATCTTTCACTTTTAACAATAGATATTATAGGGCCAGGCATGGTGGCTCACCCCTGTAATCCTAGCCTTCTGGGAGGCTAAGGAGGGTGGATTGCTTGAGCTCAGGGGTTGTAGACCAGGCTGAGCAAGAGTGAGACCCCATCTCTACTAAAGAGAAAAACTGAGGAAAGAGGATCACTTGAGCCTAGGATAGGGTGACCAGACGTCCCGCTTTTGGCGGGACAGACCCGCTTTCCAACAATTTGTCCCGTGCCCCGCGGCGTTTTAAAAAAAGTCTCGATTTTTGGAAAGAATGCACCAACGGGTGGGAGAACAAGAAGGGAATATTAGGTTTTCGGCTGCCCTGTGGCTATTTGCCAGAATATGAGTTTTATATTATTTTTGTTATTTTTATAATGTTAAACTGTAATAATAACAAATAATTGCTGAGAAGTGATTATCGAGAACTGTAAAGTTTGCATTATTGTCAGGCCCTGCCCTGCCCCGCCCCCCAGCCATGTTGTCCTGCCTTACCGATGTTAAAATCTGGTCACCCTAGCCTAGGAGTTTGAGGTTGCTGTGGGCTCTGATGACGCCATGGCCCTCTACCCAGGGCAGTAGCTTGAAACTCTTATCTCAAAAAATAAAAAATTCACTTTTAAAATAAAAACACTTTTTTAATTACAGAAAGACCCCAGTGGGACCAGTAGTTTGCCAACCGGAAGTTCTCTTCTACAGGAAGTCGATGTACAGAATGAGGAGGTGGCAGCTTTTTGTCTATCTATTACAAAGTAAGGAATTTTTCTTTATAAATTACAGATTCTTCTTTAAATGTTCACTTAAACCATGAACTTGGAAAATGAGTTAAGTGCTAATAATGCTAATGTTTTAAAAATTATAATTATTCTGGTGACTAAAATTTTAAGTCAAATGGTTAATGGGCACATTAATACAAAGTACAGTTGAACAGTCCTTCCCTGTTATGGTTCTGAATACTTAGAAGAGAAAATTGAGGTCAGACTGAAGACTTCTCATACTCTATTGAATAGTAAAAATATGGTTTACTTATAAGATTTGGTACACTTAGAAAATGCCTATTTTTGTTTTAGAGAGACTTAATTTATTTATTTTAAATTTCTTTTTTTAGAGACAGTCTCATTTTATTGCTCTCAGTAGAGTGCGGTGGTATCACAGTTCACAGCAACCTCTAACTCCTGGGCTTAGGCAATTCTCTTGCCTTAACCTCCCAAGTAGCTGGGAAGGGACTATAGGCGCCTGCCACAATGCCCAGCTATTTTTTTGTTGTAGTTTGGCCAGGCCGGGTTTGAACCCGCTACCCTTGGTATATGGGACTGGCACCCTACCCACTGAGCCACAGGTACTCCCCTGGAGAGACTTAATTTTGACATACATTTTCAAGCATTCAAAATACTGTCCTTACTTATTTAAGAGATGACAGATCTAGCAGGCAAGATTAGAAGAGTAAATATATTTTTTGAAGATTAGAAAAATGCATTTATAAAATAGTCTCTCAATCTTAAATATATTCATTACAGATGAGGAAACTGAGACTCAGAGAGGTAAGCTAACAACGTTTACTTAGCTAGTCAATAACAGGGCCAGATTGCCTTTGCCTCTGGTTAAGTGTGTCTTCTTTCCATTATGTCACTGTATTAGTAATACTTCTGTTATAAGTGATAGAAACTCATCTTAAGAAATGCCACATCCTGGCTCTCAAACTCATGTAGCAGAGAGAGGAAGGATGGGGTAGAGTCCGATAACAGCGAAATCCAGGAACTCATCCTTTAAATCCCCCTCCTCCCTTCAACTTTCCTTGTCCATTCCTCACTTTTCTTTCCTTGCTTCTCTTCTTGGGTTTTCTTCTACTGTAGGTGAGACTTTAGAAGACAGGGAATAAAGCCGCTGATAACTAGGACTTCATATTCTGAAGTTCTCTTTAGCCGAGAGGGAAAGGAGTCGTCTTAGCCAGCCAGGTGGTAAACTGTCAGAGAAGGCAAGAATAGAACAGTAAGCTTTGTGGCCAGGAGGATGAGCTCTGTTATCTAAAGAAAGTAAAGTAGATTACCACTGGGAGATTTATTCTGAATCCAGCATTTTCCCCCGTGTGGTATAGTATGCTTTAAATATAGTAGGGTTTGGGGTTCCCAGATCATTTCTGAGTATATACATCATTTCAATGTTAAGATACTTATTAATATTTAACTTAGATTTTCTAGACCATTGGTAATGTTGTATTAAAACTCTGTCTTTGGATTATTTTTTAACCAGCATTTCTTTTCTTCAGAATACCTTAGGGGGAAGAAAAATATCAGTAGAGCTACTTTTTTTTTTTTTAGCCAGTTATTCCTTAACGGTATTTTTTAGCATATATTTTTCAGGAGACATTTAAAATGGAAGGGACGTGTAGATGACTTAATATACAAATTGCACATATTATAAATTGCCTACGTGTTTATACTTTTACCTATGTGCGTTTAATGGTTTGAAATAATCTGTTACCTTAATGGTTCGGAAATAATCTGTCATATATTTAGTTTTTTCCCCAAACAAGCCCTGTACATTTCCTTTTAGCCTATGTCAAGTAACTATTGCATTTAAGCTTTGCAGGTTGAGAAATTAGGTTTGCTGCAACCTGCTTTTTTTCCTCATTTGAATCTTAGAATTATTTATACAAACTCAGCTAGTAAAATGATTTTTTTATTCTCTCTCTCAGGCTTATGTAATATGAAACCTCAAATGGACTAAAGAGAGAATGAGGGTTTTTTTGATAATTTTGTTTTCATTAGGAGACTATCATTGCAACAAATACTTAGCAGAGCAGTAAGAAGTCGAAGTATTTTTGATGCCACGTTCTGGGGACTTCTCTTATTCCCCTGTGGCCATGGAGATTGGGGTCAGGAGATATCCTTTGGAGAAATTAGTGGCTCTGTTTTTGCAGTGGATTTTTAAAATGGGAGTTTATACTGTTAATTAGCCAGTTCTTTACTTTTTAAAATCTCATAAAATTATTTTTTTAATCATTTAAATTCAGCAGTGAAATTTGTGTCAGACTGTCAGAATGATGTTTGTTTATAGTGAAGATTACTATAAAACAGACTTGAGTTTAGTGCTAGTTCCAGGCTTTGTTGTTGTTTGTGAAATTAAAGAGCTAGACTGCTGATCTCACGGATCTCTTTCATTTTAAGGTTCTAAGTGCATTGATTCAGAATGTTTTTCATTATTGCTGAATTTTTTGATTTTTAGTTCTTGTTTTCTTTCCTTTCACGCTAATCATAATTTACAAAGCTTTCTATCTTTACTAGTTATAGGTCCAGACAAAGTTCAGACAAATGTTAAGTACCAGTAGGAGTTATTGCCACTACATTTGTGGTCCTTTAGGATAAGATGAGAAACTATACTCTACACCTGTCTTCTTGAATAGCTTTCTAGTCTCTTTCTTTCATATATAGCTTAGATCTAATATTCGTGTCCTATAATAGAATCTTGTCCCCAAGGACTTCCTAGATATTTTCAAGGACTTCATCTCTGCATTTAGTTAAATTTTTCTTTCTTTCTTTTTTTATTGTTGCAGTTTGGCCAGGGCTGGGTTCGAACCCACCGCCCTCAGTATTTGGGTCCAGCGCCCTACCCACTGAGCCACAGGTGCTGCTCTGCATTTAGTTAATTTTATTCTAAACAATGCTGACTATATTTTCCTCTAATGTTAAGGGGTGGCCCCACATACCGAGGGTGGCAGGTTTGAACCTGGCCCTGACCACACTGCAACAACAACAACAACAAAAAATAGCAGGTGTTGTGGTGGGTGCCTGTAGTCCCAGCTACTTAGGAGGCTGCAGCAGGAGAATTGCGTAAGCTGTGATGCCACGGCACTTTACTGAGGGCAACATGGTGAGACTCTGTCTCAAAAAAAAAAAAGTAATGTTAAGGTGTTAATTCAATTAAAACCTCTTAACCCTTTTTTTTTTTTTTTAATTTGAGACAGAGCCTCAAGCTGTCACCCTGGGTAGAGTGCTGTGACATCACAGCTCACAGCAACCTCCAACCCCGGGGCTCAAGCAGTTCTCCTGCTTCTGCCTCCCATGTAACTGAGACTTACAGGCACCTGCCACAACACCTGGCTGTTTTTTGGTTGCAGCCATCATTGTTGTTTGGCGGGCCCGGGCTGGATCCGAACTTGCCGACTGAGGTGTATGTGGCTGGCGCCTCAGCCGCTTGAGCCACAGGTGCCGAGCCTTAATCTTTTGTTTTATCCTATTTCCTATCCTTCTGATTTTGCCTGATTTGGCTAACTATAACAGAGTTTTAGCTTGATTGAGCACACAGTAGGAAAATAAACCATGAAAGTTTTTAGTTTATGAATACAGGGATTAAATTCCCTGAACTGTGGAGCACCGTTAAACAAACAAAACCTTTCTTGGGGTTGATAGGGAAATGGAAATTTTAGACAAAATAAAAGTTAGAATTGGAAAAAAATTCTTTTTATAGGTAGTTACTTTGGAACATCAAGTGGCAATGTATAGCTTTGAGCGTCCATAATAATACTTTACCTGGTCTATTATATTTAAAGTGAATAATTTATTAAAATAGTAGTTATTTTAATAATTTGATTTTGTATGTTTAAAAAGTTTAGTTACAGGCTCAGTGACTATAGCTCAAGCAGCTAAGGCACCAGCCACATAAACCATTGAATCCAGTCTGGGCCTGCCAAAGAACAATAAGTGATACCACGGCACTCTACCCAAGGCAACAGCTTGAGGCTCTGTCTCAAAAAAAAAAAA